ACCTCAATCTCTGCAGCTCAGATGCATTTTGACAGAGATACAGAGGGAATGAACGCACCTGAAGGCAAGGGGCGAGAATGTGAAGCTTGAGAAAGTAAAATAAGTGGAGGTGATCAACTGGTGTCTTAATACACAGGGAAATGTCACACAAGTGCACTTACTTAAAATCTTTTCTCCCAACTGTGAGAAAGACATTTGGATAATCTAGCGATGCTGATGTATTAGTTTAGTCTTAGAAAGAAGAGAGTTTACTGTTGGCTGCTCATCTTAGCTTGAGACTAGAAACTAGTGTTGCATTGTGGGGAATAGACCTGCAATGCTTCATTTCCACCCTATTTGTTAAGTATTTGTTTATCCCAAATGTTGGGCCCTGGCTAGCAGCATGCAGTGGCAACTAAAGCATCTTATTTCTCAGCATACGGGTGAAAACACGGTTCCCTCTGAGAGCCGTCATTGGTCTGTCAGCTTAGTCTAGCATGAGGCAGTGAGTTAAAGATTTGCGGTGGGAGTACAGAGACATCAATCCCTCAAACTGTGTGTGTGCTGCGGAGAGAAACATCTAAATGGTCTGCTACTTGCTTTGTGATTGCCCCTGATTTTTGGAGTGGAGCAGTAAATAGACATAGCTGAGATATTATAGAAGAGAGTGGACATGCTTTAGAGTGCTCATGTAGGGCCATCTGACTGATTACATGCATGGGAGAGATGGCTTTAAGTGAAGGCCTCTACGCACCTGTAATCAGATTATATTGTAGCTGCATTTTAACCTCAATCACGGGTACATTAATTTGGAAACATCTGCGTAATTACCCCAAACAAACAGGCCCTCGCTGTCAGCTCTCATGTACGTTTGACTCAAAGCAACTCATGTTACTGCATCATTTCAGATTATATATTCCTAGTTGTTTCAAAGCTGATGCAAACAGTAGTGACAGCCTCCCTGTTGTGGGGCGATTCAGAGGAGTGACATTGGAAGAATTGGGCGAAAAAGCTTCAGAAGCACTGAAATGTTATTGTAATAGTAATTTTGTTGGACAAACAGGCCTAAATATGACATTGCAGCTTTAATAGTGGCAAACCCAAAACTGTATGTCCTGCTTTTCACTTCAAGCGGCCCCCAAGCTCATTTTCAGGTTCACATTTGTCTCCATGCTTTAATGTTCAAAAAGCTCTTTATTTGTCTCATACTGCCTGTGCTGCAGCACCTCTTTTCACCCTCTGTCTGAAACCAGAGCCCAGTCTGCTCTGATTGGTTAGCTGGCCGGCTCTGTTGTGATTAGTTAACCTCTGAGAGATGTCCCGCCCTTTGCCTGTACAATTAGTTGGAGTGCTAGCCAACTGTTACATGGTGATGTCATTATGGTCTACAAAGGAGTCTCATGGAGGCGTTTCAGGACGGCAGGGAGTGTGTGGAACTCCCTCTGGAGGGCATGTTAGGATTTGTGTTAAACTGACGGTTAGATGGTTAGACCGTTTAGATGTGCATAAAGTGGTGTTTGGACAGATTATGTGTGTAGTTCTGATATAACTCATGCTGTCTTGTGATCTGGGCTCTGATCCCTGACTGGTTCCCCTCGGCTCCATGAACACAAGCTGTGGTCTGTTCCACCTGCTTAACCCCTGGACACATAGCAAAGGTCAACATCTGATTTGTTTGTTAGCACCCCCCAATAAGTGCACATGTGAAATGTGTGTGTTCTTTGTTATTGCTGTGATCACACCGTTCATATTATCCTGCAGCGCATTTGCCATCTCTCTCTTTCTCTCGACTTAGTGTGGTTCAGTTCGGCTGCACAGACAGGAATCAGCCGGTTGCTATGGCATCATGAAGCGAGCGTTCCCACAGAATGAATTAAACTGTACGACAGAAACTGGTGATATTGATTTGAAACAGCAGGCCAAACTGTGAGCAGCGACCGGTGGCTGGGGAGGAAACACTCCCGCTGTTTCCTTGAGATCACACTGTTTGCAGTACACAATGTGAACAGATGTGTGGTATTAAAAACATAGGTGATATACTTAGCTTACGTCTAATGAGCGGGAGGAAAGTCTAGACGCCCACTAGACCAGAGGAGGCAGCTGCAAATAGACGGGAGCAACTCGTCTCTATGGAAACCAGAGGCGAAAACAGTGACACACACTGCCATGAAAGACTTGTGGGAGAGGAGGATGAAAGACGGGAGAAGGGAAAGTGGAAGGAGGGGTGATGAGAGGGAAAGATGATGTGTGTGTGTGTGTGTGGCAGCAGATATTGATGCCCCCAGTGGGCATTAATGTCTCCGGGTTCATCTGTCTTTGAAAGAATTGATTTCATTTCACCGAGCCGACACAATGTCCTCCCTCAAGACACTGTGGGGAGTAATGTCTCTCAAACAATGCCACTGATGACACAATGAGACACAGAAGGTAGCTCCAATTAGAATACTTCATTACCATCACGGCGGGTAATTATTGATAGCGATAACAGCCACTTTTACTATTGTACAGCTATGTTAGAAAAGGTTGGATGGGCCTCACAGCAGGGAGTGGTGGTCCAGGTGACGGTTAAGAAGTTGGTGTAATTGTAATGTACTTGATATGCGAGTTAGTTTCAGCCTGAAATGTGTATGTTCTTGTAACATTATTTGAAATCTAACTATGTCACTGTCACTTGGCAGGTAGTATTCCTCAATTCCTTCTTGAATAATCCAGGTGTTTAGCAATTTAACGAAACTATGAGTTTATTTGCGTATTTTCCACATGCTATACTGACTTTTTGTAGCATATATTCCACATGCTATACTATGACTTTTAAGGTAAAAACATTTGTATTTTTTGGACGAAATAAGTGTGTAGTAGGGCTGTCCCGAATACCATTTTTCGGGCTCCGAATATTCGGGTACAGCCCTAGTGTGTAGAAACCAGGCGTGGCACAGTACGTCGTTAAAAATGACCAAAAAGTCATAATGTAGGTATTTTATGTGGAAATAAGGCACGGTACAGTGTGTGGAAACCAAGCGTGTTACAGTAGTTTATTTCTTTGTTGTAACAATGCTTCTTGGCAATACATCTTATACCGTTGGAAAGCCTGTTTATTAACCTTTGAAATGGTGCTACATTTATGAGGAACATGCATTTGTGGGATGAGCAGCAGAGCTGAGTACACTGGAGGAAATCTCTCCACAGAATCAATAAATCAGATTCCAACCCACCATGGGCAAAGAGCTGTCTAAGGACCTCAGGGACAAGATTAGACCTGCACGAGGCTAGACTGCTACAAGACCATCAGAAAGCAGCTTGGTGAGGAGGAGACAACTGTTGGTGTGATTATTTGGAAATGGATGCAAACTAAAAATGGCCATCAATTGCCCTTGGTCAAGATCTTGCCTCGTATTGATGATCATGAGAAAGGTGAGGGATCATCACGGGAGGAACTTGTTAATGGTCTCAAGGCAGCTGGGTCGACAGCCACCAAGAAAAAATGTGACAGATGTCCTCTGCTAATGCCAAACAGCAGCCCATCTCTGGTCTTGTATGCCTGCCATGACTGGCCTTGACTTTCAGGCTCTGTGGAGGAACCTTGTGTTCAGCGATGAGTCCAGATCCTGCCTACGGCACTTGGATCATAAGGCCACAATGTGGAGGAGATGCGGAGAATGCTTTCCTGATTGTTGCACCGATAGAGTATCATGTTTTGGTGGAGGCATCTCCCTCTCTGGGAAAACAGGCTTCTCAGCATTGGATGAACGCAGAGAGGTATCGAGATGAATTTATGAGACCAGTGGCAATCCAATATCTCAGAGACTTCCTCCAGAAGTGGAGCCTGCAGTCCCGACCTCAACTCCATTGAACACTTTTGAGATCAGCTTGGCCCTGCTGTCCGTGCCAGAGTGAGCAACACGGCTTGGCTGACTTGGGAAACAAATAGTGGTTGGAGAATGAGGTGCCATCCTCCAGGCTGGTGAGGCTGTGTGTGGTTCTTCAACACGCTATCAAGGCTGCTTGTTAAAGAAATACATTGTTAATCAAGAAATTGTTGCCAGTATGTCTTTCATCAGACTTCAAGCATCCAATCCACCTGCTTGGCATTGGCAGAGGAGGTTTGCTCCATACTCTGCTGCTCATCCCACAAATGCATGTTCCTCACAAATGTGACACCATTTCAAAGGTTAATAAACAGGCTTTCCACAGCGGTATAAGATGTATTGCCAAGAAGCATTGTTACAACAAATAAATAGTCTACCAAACAGAGAGTTCCTAACTTTTTGTGTTAAATAATTGAAAGAAGGTGTAGTGTATTATGTAGATAACACATCTTTTAGAAAAGAAACACCTACCATTACAGCTGCACGGCGCTCGCCCTTTACAGACAGGTCGTGTTTCAGGATCTTTGGCTGTTGAAAAGAAACGGGATTGATTCAATAATGTGGACGTCCACCCAGAATACCCCATATGCATTAATAATGGTCATTACCTCTGCCCTCGTTACATAATCACAACTTCAGCAACGGTCGCCCCAGTGCTGACCAGCGTTCATTTTGGCAGCTATTTCAGATTGAATCTTTAGAAGAAAATGGTCACATTTTAGTCCTTTTTATTCTTCATAGTTTTACTCTCGTTTTAGTCAGCCACAACTCAAAACGTTTCAGTTCAGTTTTAGTCGATGAAAAATCATTACATTTTAGTCAACTTTTAGTTTTAATGTTTTCTCTCTTTCAACTATTTCAGTTAGGCAAATGCATGTATCTGAAATTGGAATTAAGGTGACAATATCAAGTGTTAACATTCGTAAAGCGACATTTCCCTCTTAACTCTTTACTTGTGAGTGACGTGTGCAGATTCCCAGAATCCCAACTAATTCAACCAATGACAGGGATGCATTTTGACGGACAATTGGGGGGGAAATATCCTGCATTTTCTATGTCCAATAGTCCACCATTAACACTTTCTCGTCAAGGAAAACAAAATGAACACTGGTGCTGACCAGTTTCACTCATCATACTTACTGGTGTCCTCCCCAGGTATCACCACGGTGCTGACCATGACCACGCTGAGCACAGTGGCCAGGAACTCGCTGCCCAGAGTGTCCTACGTGACGGCCATGGACCTGTTCGTCACCGTCTGCTTCCTGTTCGTCTTCGCCGCCATGATCGAGTACGCCATGCTCAACTACTGCGCCTACAGTCTACGCAGACCTCCTGCCAAGACACAGAGAATGGTAAAGTGTGAGCAATATGTTGGAGCTTTCCATTTGCTGTATCACCCACAGCTCCTCAAAACACATTGTATGTAGAGCATGCATGTCTCATCTTATCTGGCATATCATGTACTCTGCAAAAAGGACAGTGAAACAAATCACTACAAGAATCCCAAAAACAACAGATACAAAGACATTTCAAACACCTAGAAATGTTGACTACGGAGACACACAACATGTCTAGTAGTCTCTCCAGACACTGTTTCCCAAATGTATTAGTAATGATCTCATTAAGACAGTAGGTTTATGGGTGTCATAGCAACCTTGGGAACCCAGAGAATTAGTAGCATTGATTGTAATGTAGCTGAAAAACAAGGGATAAAAAGTTCAATCTTCATCCTCACGAGCTAATCACAAATAGGCACCTGTTCCCATTGAATTTAAGGGCCATGAAAATACTTCAGACTGAATAAAGCTTTCAGAAACGATTTTCATTGACCACAACAACATAGAAAGTGCACCATACATGTGAAACCCTGCCTCCTGTTCAGAGCCGAATGTCCTGTGTGGGCGTCCTCAAGGCTGCTCCTGCTGAGAACACTTTAATGGCGGCAAACATCCACCAGGACTGAGTCAGCCTTCACCGTCACCCCTCCACTTCCCCTCCATTATTCCCTCCCAAAGGACTTCTAGCCAACGCTTCTCAGAAATGTACAGACTGTCATTGAAGGCCACTTCTGACTGGCCTTCCCATCAAGCTCCTCAATAGACTGCAAATAATCCAGAACTCTGCTGCCCGGATCATCACCCGCACCAACTCATCCGACCACATCACCCCCATTCTCACTCAGCTACACTGGCTTCCTGTACGCTACCGTATTGACTACAAAAACATTCTACTCATATACAAAGCTGTCCATAACCTTGCCCCCATCTACATCACTGACCTCCTTCAGGAGTACACCCCCTCCGCTCTTCGTCCGTAGGACTTCTCACCGTCCCAAGCTATCGCCTCAAAACCATGGGTGCTCGAGCTTTCAGCTGCTCGGCTCCCAGACTCTGGATCACCCTGCCACGACACATCCGACAGTCTGATTCATAACGACATCAAAACCCACCTGTTCAAACTGGCATTTTCTCTATAATCTGTACCCTGTGTCCCTTTGTGTCCTTTTGTAGTCAATTTCCTGTTTGTCTTGTCTTACCCCGGCTGATACTTCACTAAATCCACTGTTTTAATTTGTAAGGTCAAATTGTAAATGTAAATCTGTGACCCTGTAAGGTGTCCTTGGGTGTTATGAAAGGCGCCCCCCAAAATAAATGTATTATTATTATTATTATTGCAGGCAGACGAATTAAGTTGTGCTTCATTTGGTCCTCTGTATTTCTGCTGTACTTTGGCCTGCTCTGTCTGTGGGGAAGCCTCATGTTTCCCCCCCGCCCCCCCCGCCCCTCGCTGCTTTTCTTTTTCCTTTTTTCCCACCCACTCAGTCAATGCTGTCCCTCCACATCTAGCTCTCTGTCTCTCTCACCTCCCACTCTTCCTCTCGCTGAGTAGTAGAGAGATGTTTGGAGATTTTACCCCAATTAGGTTGTCCCTCACGATGTCATAAACACCAGGGAGGAAGTCACATAGTGAACTTCTCTGGATGAACTTATTCCACACGAAAGCTGCTAAATATGGCTATAAAAACTCAATAATACTTCTTGTCATTATGTATTTTGAAAGCTGTAGTTTCTCTTTCTATGACATATGTACGTTTTGTACTTCAATATTACTAAAAAGACATATTTTCAAGAGTGAATCTGATGTTTACAACCCCATACATCCCTCTCTGTTCTTGCAAAAGCATATCGATTAAAGAATGCTTTTTGCAGCGATGACCAAAGTCCTAACAGCTGGTACATTTCTACATTTGTATTCAACACAACAATAACATTGATGGAGTTCTTCAGCAATCTAAAACAGCAGTAATGAACATGTCAGGGCTTTGTGACCAGAATGCAATGCAGCAAACAAGCATATTGCATTTAGAGATATGCTGCTACAATCACAAATAAACCTGATCAGCTTTCTGTCATCCCACACAGGTCTACTCATCTTTCAACATGGGTCACGCGCCTCGCTCCATGATGCCCATGGGCAACTCTCTGTTCTGGCAGGAGTACGACGACAACTGCCTGTACGAGTGCCTCGACGGGAAGGACTGCAAGAGCTTCTTCTGCTGCTACGAGGAGTGTAAAGAAGGCGGCTGGAGGAAAGGACGCATCCACGTCAACATCGGGGAGCTGGACGCCTACTCTCGGGTTTTCTTCCCCACCTCCTTCCTGCTTTTCAACATAGTCTACTGGGTCAGCTACCTCTACCTCTAGGGGGGTCTCGGGCTGCGACACGTTGGGCTCAAACAGCCACGGTCCACTTTGCACCGCGGCCCGAGATTTAAGGTCAAAACTAAGCGAGGAAATGGAGGAAAAACTGTGGATTACGAAAGACAAGCCGCGAGATATACACGTGTGCTGTGGAGGCCATGATGCTTTGAGCGGTGGCACTCCGAGGAGATATAAACGCTCGACTGTAGATCAGCAAGCCGCCAGCATTAACTCGAATGGTCCCGTTTATGGCTCTCTCAGAAACCAGGCGACAGACAGCTGTGGCTTCAGAGACGCGCGGGGACGGGTGCGTTGCTCCGTCTCGGTCATCGAGATGGCGAAGCACCCATAGTGCCTTCTTTAGACAGGGTGCGGCACCCAGAGACCCGGCTTCATTATCTTTAGGCAGCGGAGGTTGAAGGGATGGCTTTGGCATTCAGAAATAAACCCCTTTGCTACAGGTGGCAGAAATCTATCTCAATAAATAACACTTACTGTAAATTGGCTCCTCGGCGCCCTCATCTGAAGCGCTGGAGGAAATGGATGGCATTTCTATGATAAAACAAAACGGGAAATGGGACGTATTGGAGGGTATTTCACTAAATACACTCAATCAATTAAACTACTACTGGTAGAAGTAGGAGAAGCTAAAATGTCAAGAGGTGTTGCAAAGTGTGACGTTTTGTTCCTCTCGCCTCCTTAGCCACCCTTCAATCGTCGCTGTTTGAATCCCTATAACCTCACACACCACCCGCCGCATGCTGAGCTGCCTATTCTTTGATGAGCCTGGAACACCACTGGAGATGTTTAAAACTAACACTCACTTTTAGTTCAACCTTAGAATTAGTTTCTTAGAATAGCAACCTTTTTCTTCTTCTTATAATTACCATTATAATTGAAATGAGTTGTCTTTTTCACACCTAGCTCAGCCGTCACCTGTTAATCGTTGAATATGAGTTGGTGGTTGTCTGGTGAGCTTGTGTTCATGATGCTTTATGAGACAGCCATGCAGATTACAGTAGATGCCAAGAAGATGTGTGTTTTATAAGAAATGCTGGGTTACATTCTTACAAGTAAATACATACAATCTAATACTTAACATGCTAATCTCATACACAGGCATGACATGTATGTTACAGTATATGAATAAACAGATTAGGGTTAGAGCAACACTTTTCCTTATTTACATACACAATGATGTGGTATTATTATCGTCAGCGAGGCCTCTGGATAGTTTAAAGGGAAAGTTCAACATTTGTTTATCATAAATTCTCAATTAGTAGCCAGAAGCGTTTCTGTATGGATGAACACCTCCATAAGAGACTTGAAAGTGAAGTTAAGTTCCCCCGTAAATTGACCCAGTAAAGCAACACGTTCTTGATGAAGCCCATTCCCCCAGCAAGAGTCACTTTGGCCTGTTCCCAAATCAAGCTCAACTCTACATACATTATTTTCACATTGAAATTGTTGCAGCCGTGTTGGTTTATGGGTAAAAGCAGGACCTCTAAAGGTTCACACGGTTACTTCTGCAGGTTGAATGAAACTGTCCCGCTTTGGACTTCACATTAAACCAAGAGATGTGTTACTGAGTGAGCTTTATAAGCCACACTATGCTGTATCTGGCTTCAGCTTTAGTTCTCCATCTTATTCTCTGCAACTAAGCAAGTGAACTTATAACAAATGTAGAACTTTTCCAATAGGCCATATCAATCCTAAAGCACATACAAACTGTACTTGACGTATTGGTGTTTCATTACACTTTCAGACGTAGAGCTTGAGTGCATAACGTTTGGAGTGTTCCTGAGAGCTTCATGGCAGGAGTACGACGGTGCTCTAAAATGACTTCTATATATCGTGATACTTCAGACTGAAATGGACGTCCCACACCCTCTCCTCTGACATGTCAAACGGATGCTACACTTGGAGGTACGCGAACACCACAGGGGCGGTAAACGGCTCTTGAAGCGTTATGGTTTTGTTTACTGTTCTATGGTGTTTTTTGCAGTTGTTGGCTTTGTAGAACAATCAAACCCCACTTCTCCCTTTCCCCCAACGCACACCAACACACACACACACACACACACACACACACTTTCCCCCCGGTATTTATATGTTGAGAGAAAAGCTTTTATGTAAGATGTAATTAATGTTTCTATTTTCATACAGTTGTATATGGAATGTAAGTTAGGCCAGTAGCGAGGCCGGAGTCAATCTGGTTCCAGTTCAGTCAGTTCAAGCAGCTCATATTTAGGGGTCCTATATATTCATGAGGCTGGCAGACATATTTGAGGCCTGTCTAAAAGTGTGTTAGAACAATAGAATTTCTGCAGGGATGACATACTTGGAGAATTAACAACAAAACAATGGGATTGCTCCAGATGTATTCAGAAAATAAGCTCTGCGGTAAACCAAAGTTATGCAGAAAATGCTCATTGCTGGAATACTCGATAGATTAGCTCATAGCAGACATTAGCATTTACATCTGTGTATCTTTATGAACTGGCTGAATTGAACACACCACAGTCAAGTGTCCTCACCTCTGATATTTCTACTACACTTTATAAGTGTCTTAGTGCGTTGAGATACTTCAATAAAACAAAATCACTATTTTCTACCTTAATGAAAATCACCTGTGTTTCAGCTGTATTTATAAAGCCTCTTTACAATCAGAGCATCATTTACTCGCTGAAAGCTTCCGGAGACCCCCATTAAAGCAGAGCGCCGGCCACACATCATGCATCTGTTACGTCACCTGTTTAGTTTTGATTGTCAGCGAGGTCTCTGGGGACACGGCTGTATGAAAGGGACGCCACTCTGACTCTGGATCAGCACTCCTTCCTTCGGGGGGAATATTTTATGAAAACAGGATCGAGAGTGAAAATAGGTATCTTTTTTCTAGTGTGTGGTACATTGCTTATATTAATAAATAACGTTTTGGTCAAGTGCTACTGTGAAGTGTTTTTCTTCCAGATATGTGAAATAAGTTGGGGGAAAGCCACTGGAGAATCTCCTCCATGAAGTCTGTCTTTTGGACCCATTTAAACAGCATTTCATACTGAAGCCCCTCTCTCTTAAAGCTGCTGTTCACATGCAAATACTGTATGTGACTGCTTAAGACAATAATGCAACATTTATGATTACAATGGCAGTATGTGCTGAAACTGCTAGGATTTCATGCTGGTTCATTATAAGTAAACATGCCATTTAAGATGATTTGTTGAGCTGAAAATCACAAATGTGCCTCTAATGCTTTTACAGTCTTTACAACGCCCTCTATCCTTAAAGCCTCTGAGACCATTTGCCACAAACAACACATCAGCAGCCGGTGGATTAGAGTTCAAAATCACAATCTGTACGACTCCCGACCCGCTACCATCCAGATTTAAATAACACCAAAACAAATCACTTCAAAAACGCCATGAAGAGCAAGTGATAGAAGACGTACTCAGGTGTTTTGCTTAAGTAGTAAAACAACAGTCTGGAAATAGTCTGAGCTTTAAAATGTTACTTAATATTAAATCAATATGAGCTAGAAATGGTATGCATTGTCACTCAAATGCTATCTGTACATGCAACACAGCGTTATACAGTTAAAGGAACACACTGCAGGTGTTCAAATGATCCCTAACCCTTTCACTTGGTCAACCCCAGCTGGTATCATCTGTGAACTCATGTGTTCAGAATATGGCCATTCATTGCTTTCATTAGTCAACACAAGCTAATTCAATGTCCTGATGGGCGAGTTGACAAATCAGGCGTTCCATAAACAATGGAGTGAGTAACAAAAGTCCTCAGGCGGTGAGTCTGCCTAATAACAATGATACGACTAATATCCAGCGACAGATGCACGAGCACGTCACTGCTTCGTCCTCACTTTGTTGACCTAGATCGAAGCGAGCGGCAGTGCGAGCGAGAGACAGACAGATAAGTGGAGTCAGAGGGTGGGAGTTACAGAGCTGCAGCGCAAACTGCAACTAGAGCTGCCTCCTACGCAGGAGAGAGCAGCAGGCTCACAGGGACGTGGAGAGGAGCACCAATGCAGGGGAGTGTGTGTGTGTGTGTGTGTGTGTTAATATGACAGATGTGTGCTTGTGTGTACGCCTTGATACAGTGTGCTCATGCTTTTTTGCTCAGCAGGGGGCTTTTTGCGTGGGTGCATGTACTGTACTCATAGCTGTGAGTATGTTAGGGATGCACAACATTTGTCTGTGCATGTTCTTAGGGTGAATTATGAGTTAATACCGATAGATTCAAGTATTATTCTAACCTAAGACATGCAGTATTTGTTCATCCCTGAGGAAACGGTTCCAACAAGGATAGGGCAGATAAAGGTTGAGGTAAAAGGATTAATCAAACTATCTGTGATATGCTTTGTTGAAAGCATCCACACTGTTGGGAGTCTGGACGTGTTTCAGTGCCTGTTTCCGCTGAGGTGTCACAGTCTCTGATAATGGAGGGCTGTCAGGTGTTGTCATGCTTCCTCAGGCAGTGGAAGACTGTCACATCCAGCTGACATGCAGCAGGAGGAGTGTTGTGTTTCAGCTACTCCATAAATGTTTGGCCAATATTGACTCCGGTGCTCGCTTTGTTTTGATCTCCAGGGAAATATCTGGATGTTTAGCCGCTGGATGCTCCTCTCTCCTGAACACTGGGCTTGTTTGCGGTGGGTTTCCTAACCCTTAAATGTTGTTGGGTCACAGAGGCACGTGAAGAAGCTGCTCAGCGCTGAGAGAGGTCCCACCACCTCTGGTTTCTGGGATCAAAGACAGACAAAGAAAACCTTTCATTCAGATATGTGTTTCTGGAAGTTAGTACACATTCTTAAGGTTAGTTTGCTTTAATCCTTGTATCATAACTTCTAAAGCAGTTTGATAAACACTCCAATTCAATAACATCTGACTTTCATGAAGCTCGGGGTTGGAGATGTGAGGTTTGAACTAAGATGACTAAACTATTATTTATCTGCAGGCAGTCTGATGTTGACTTTTCTCCTTCATTTCTATTCCTCTCTCACAGACTTTTCTGAGAGGTCGAGTGTATTTATAAAGCCATATTTACGTTTCTCCAATATATAAACGAGTGAGAATTCAGCAGATTTTGTGTCTGGAATTAGCTGGAGATATTGCTTTAAACGTACACTAAATGTTAACACAGTGTTTCTGTCTCTTATGTTCTTATAACGAAGCACAACGATTTGGTGGGAGAGGACTGCTTCACTGTCACTAACAAATCTCTGCTGGCTGCACAAATGACTGATGGAGGGATACGATCCACCTGCATGATAATGGGAAAGATTGGGCAGGGTATCAGTTGGAACCATCTGATGTGAGTCCCCTGCAGCAGGAACAGCATGACAATAATACGAAATCAATCTGAAAATGAAGCCATACGCCGATTTCAAGGCAAGGCCATTTTTACATTACATTGCATTTAGCTGACGCTTTTATCCAAAGCGACTTACAATAAGTACATTCGACCAGGAAGACACAACCTTGAAGAAAACAGAATCATATAAGTACATCAGGTTTCATAGAGCCAAACATTTCAAGTGCTACTCAACTGGCTTTAGATAAGCCAGCCCTTTGTTAGTATATAAGTGCTTCGTTAATAGTTCTATCGCTCGAAGTGGAGTCGAAAGAGATGAGTTTTCAGTCTGCGCCGGAAGGTGTGTAAGCTATCTGCTGTCCTGATGTCAATGGGGAGCTCATTCCACCATCTTGGAGCCAGGATAGCAAACCCACGTGTTTTTGCTGATGGGAACTTGGGTCCCCCTCGCAGCGAGGGCGCAGCGAGTCGTTTGGCTGATGCAGAGCGTAGTGCACGCGCTGGGGTGTACGGTTTAACCATGTCCTGGATGTAGGAAGGGCCAGATCCATTCGCAGCATGGTACACAAGTACCAGTGTCTTGAAGTGGATTCTAGCAGTTACCGGAAGCCAGTGAAGGGAGCGGAGGAGCGGAGTGGTGTAGGAACATTTAGGAAGGTTGAAAACCAGACGAGCCGCTGCATTCTGGGTGAGCTGCAGAGGTCGGATGGCACATGCAGGTAGACCAGCCAGGAGGGAGTTGCAGTAGTCTAGGCGTGCGATGACGAGAGCCTGGACCAGAACCTGCGTCGCTTTCTGAGTCAGCTGGGGACGTATCTTCCTGATGTTGTAAAGCGTGTATCTGCAGCAGCGGGTTGTAGCAGCGATGTTTGCAGTGAAGGACAGGTTGTTATCTAGGGTCACACCCAGATTCCTTGCAGTCTGAGTCGGGGAAACAACTGAGGTGCCGATGTTGATTGTCAGGTCAAGAGTGGGACAATCTTTTCCCGGGAGGAAGAGCAGCTCAGTCTTGTCAAGGTTGAGCTTGAGGTGGTGAGCAGACATCCACTGAGAGATGTCAGCTAGACAAGCAGAGATGCGTGCGATGACCTGGGTCTCTGAGCGGGGAAAGGACAGAATTAATTGGGTGTCGTCAGCGTAGCAGTGGTAAGAAAAACCATGCGGGCTAATGACTGATCCGAGCGAGTTTGTGTACAAGGAGAAGAGGAGGGGACCAAGAACAGAGCCCTGAGGGACCCCCGTAGTTAATTGACAAGGGTCGGACTCAGACCCTCTCCAAGTCACCCTGTAGGTACGGTCTTTCAGGTATGAGGTGAGGAGGGAAAGTGCAGAGCCTGAAACTCCAAGTTCTTGGAGAGTGCGAAGGAGGATCTGATGATTCACCGTGTCGAATGCAGCAAACAGGTCCAACAGGATGATGACAGAGGAGAGGGATGCAGTTTTGGCAGTGTGCAGTTCCTCCGTGACAGCAATGAGAGCAGTTTCTGTGGAGTGACCTGCCTTGAAACCAGACTGGTGCGGATCCAGAAGGTTGTTCTGATTGAGATAACAGGAGAGTTGTTTAAAGACAGCGCGTTCAAGTGATTTAGACAGGAACGGGAGGAGAGAGACAGGCCTGTAGTTTATAACATCAGACGGGTTGAGAGTGGGTTTTCTTTAGGAGAGGGTTTACTCTTGCCTCCTTGAGACTGTTTGGAAAGTGACCAGAAGTTAGAGAAGTGTTGATGAAATGGGTGAGAAACGGTAGAATATCAGGAGCGATAGTCTGAAGGAGGTTTGAAGGGATAGGGTCCAGAGGACAGGTGGTAGGGCGGGCAGAGGTAATGAGGGTAAGAACCTCACTTGGAGAGAGAGGGGAAAAGGAGGTCAGTGTGTGGGTGGAAGGAGGGTCTGGTGACCCAGCGGTGAGTAAAGGTGAGTCAGAAAAAGAAGAGCGGAATATCATCAACCTTTTTTTCAAAGTGGGTAACAAAGTCGCTTGACAGAAGTGAGGGAGGGGGGAGGGGCTTTTGGAGGGTCCAAGAGGGTGGAGAGATGGAAAATAGTTTTTTTAGGATTGGAATAGGAAGATTGGATCTTATCTTGAAAGAAAGTGCTTTTTGCCTGAGAGATCGAAGCAGAGAAAGACGAGAGGAGAGCCTGATAGGTTAGGAGGTCGTCACGGTGTTTGGATTTCCACCGTTTCCGCTCTGCTGCCCTAAGGACGGTTCTATTAGCACGCAGTGCATCATTTAGCCAGGGAGCAGGAGGGGACTGACGAGCCTGCCGAGATGTGAGAGGACAGAGCGAGTCCAGAGTGGATGAGAGAGTAGAGAGGAGAGTTTCTGCAGCAGAGTTTGGAGGCAGTAGTTGGAACGAGTCAGAGGAAGGGAGGGCTGAGAGCACCGACGAGGCAAAGGTAGAGGGGGAGAGGGAACGAAGGTTACGGCGGACAAGTGCAGGATGAGAAGAGATTAGTTTGGAAAGGGGTAGAGAGAATGAAATGAAGAAGTGATCGGATGTGTGGAGCGGGTTTACAGAGAGGTTAGAAGTAGCGCAGTTCCTTGAGAATATGAGATCAAGGACATTGCCAGCTTTATGAGTCGGTGGGGACGGAGACAGTGAGAAAGCAAAGGCGGTT